GGTTTTCCCATCTGGCTTACAGAGGCTGGAGGCTGATCCTGACCAGGGCTGAGGCAGGCTTTGTTCCCTGGGATGTGCAGCAGCCTCCCCTTGCTCCCAGCGCCCTCCTTGCTCCCTCCTCCTGCCCACCCTGGGACCCATCAGGCTGAATCTCCTGGGGCCACTGGGCATTTCCCACCCCAACTCGACCCCTCTAACGTCTCCCATCTTGCTCCCAGTAGGAGCCAGCCCCAGAGCCCTCACTCAGCAATCCCGTCACCATGCCAGGGAGCCCCAGCGCTGCTGCCTTGGGGGTCAGAGGAGGGGCAGCAGCTTCTCCCCTCAACCAGAATGAGCCATCCGGGGGCTAGGGTCACCATGTTAGCTCAGAGGGATCTCAGCTGCCCTGTGGGACCACTCCAAGCAAAGCCTGGGGAAAGCACAGGGAGGGCGGTGAAAGGGGCTTTGTCAGCACCCCGTGACCGATGGCCAGGCTGGGGCTGGGGTCCCGAGGGGTGGGGGGCTCCCTAGATCCTCGACTCTGGCTGCTCTGTGCACCCCCTCTGCTCCCCAGGGTGAGGGAAAGTATCTGCTTACTCAGGCTTGTCGTCTGGACGGGTCAGCTCCTGTGTGGACAGAGCCAGGGTCTGAGCAAGAGCCTGACTCTGGGGACCATCTTCCCCTCCTGAGTCCTCAGCGGGTGCTGACGGGGGCTTGAGTCCTTCGTAGATGACATTGGACACCATCTCCAGCCTGCTCTGCCCTGAGCTTGGCTGTGAAGCTGCCCTGGAGCATGGTGAGGGATCTCTCCTGTCTGGGGTGGCTGTGGCACGCAGAGGAGGGTTGGATGCAGGGTGACACTCCGGCACGGTCTCAGGGCTGGGCTCAGCTGCTGGGACCCTGTGGCTGTGCCGTGGTGGGACAGATGGGACGAACAGGGAGGATTTCTCTGATGCCTCCAGGGTTTGTCCATGATCCAGAGCTGGGGAGGGCCGTATCTCCTCCCGAGCTCTCTGCCGTACTCGCAGCCGGGATGCTCTCATGCCCATGGCCACAGCTGTCCCTGGGCCAGCTGGCAGTGCTGACCTGGGCTCCAGGCCCTCCAGATCTGTGGAGCTCTCCCCCGGCACAAAGCCCTCCAGTACCACAAAGGCTGCAGGCGCCCCGTCACTGCCTGGGCTGTGTGTTGGCACTGTGCTGCGTGCCAGTGGGGTGGGTGCCAAGCTCTGCTCCGGCTTTGAGCGAGGGAAAACTGTCCTCGGCTTGGGAACCGGCTTCACAAGGGGAGGAGCAGGATCCTTCTCTAGAGGCGATGCCTGGGCGGGTGCCGTGACATGTTGATGCGTCCCAAAGGTGTCAGCAGCCCCTCCTGGCTCTGCTTTCATGACATCCTCACCCACCTGGGGGACATCCAGGCCCTCCGTGGCTTGGAGATGTGTGTCTTCTGCTGCAGGTCCCCCCCAGGATTGACTGAGCATCTGTGTCTGCTGCACCAAGTTCAAGATCCTTTTGCGGTGCCCAGTGGCGGTAATGCCAATCTGCTGCAAGTGGTCGCCATCCAGTGAGGCCGCATCTCTGGCCACAAGGTACCCATGCTGCTTGAAGACGTCACGGTACCTCTCCAGGAGGATGGTGGCCAGCCAGTCTGCAATATCCGAATCAGGACCACACAAGGAGCTCATGGCCCTGGGGTGCCTCTGCGACGGATGCTCAGCCCATCATCTGTGGAAGGAGGAGAGAAAAGGAGTGAGGAGGCAGCAGGAAGGGAAAGGGGGGGGTTCAGCTGCCGTGAAGGGCACAGATCCTGAGGGTGCGAG